ATCCCAGATTATTAATAGCCTCGCTATCTTGTGACGAAATTCCTGCATGTGCCAATAACTTTCGTCTGTCGCCATCAAGTTTTTTCAAATTATATTCACCGTTTTCAATTAATGAAAATACGATTTATGAAGATGAATTAAGAAATACTGCAAAAAAGGTTATATAATAAACTCAATGGAATCATCTCAACGAGAAATTATTAATGATTTATTTTAATTCTTTTACTGATTATATTATAATTTGTTTTTAGCTTCTTTCTGTTTGTGCTTCATTGGGTGAAAATCCGTTAATTAGATATCAAAGATCACTTGAAGCCGATCATCCAACAAAATCTTTACCTTATAAATTAGCTATGCTGTTACAAGCAGAATTAGATCAATATGTAAAAACTAACCCAAATTTTCCTGTAAGTAAATTGTTAATATATTTTTTTTATGGTTTTTTTTTTTAAAAAAAATTTTTAGGCGACAAACAAATAACGAATTATTTTTTTCAAATAAATATATAATATCAGCCACAAGATAATCAACGTCCACGAGCTGTTTTGTTTGTTTTTGACAGAACTATTGACATGTATTCGCCTTTTCTTCATGAGTTTACTTATCAAGCAATGGCCAATGATCTTCTAAAAATAGAAAACGGACAAAAATATAATTATACTTATGTTGATCAAGATGGTCAACCTGCAACTAAGGATGTTGTTTTAGATGACAATGATAAGGTTTGGGTCGAGGTTAGGCATAAACACATGAAGGATTGTATAGATAAACTTATGAAGGATTTTAATGAATTTTTGGGTGAAAATTCAGAATTTACCGACAAGTATGTCAATTTATTATCAATTTAAATTAACTGATATGAAGTTATTCTATATTTATTTATTTAATACTTCTAATTAAATAAATACGAAGGGATAAAGCAGCCAATTTAAATGACATGAAAAAAATGATGGCAACTTTACCACAATTTCAAAATATGAAAGAAAAGGTATTCTTATAAAAGTTTAATAATTCAAATTCCAATTAAAATCATTTCTGGAGAATTTTGAAACTAACTATTTAAAAATTCTATAGTTTTCTGTACACTTGAATATTGCACAAGAATGTATGAGTATATTTGAAAACGAAATACTTGCAGAAACAGCCACAATAGAACAAGTAAAAATATTTTATTTTATTTTATTTATATTATAGATTTAATATATTATTTAAATTTATTTTTAATTAACGATTTAATAATTCAGAATTGCGCAACAGGATTTACATCTGATGGATTACATCCAAAAACTTTAGTTGAAGAAATGGTACCTTTATTAGATAATCCAGTTGTTAGGTAATAGTTTGTCATTAATATTAGCATCAATGATAATGTATTTGTATATGTATTTATACGCATGTGTGTGCTGTCTGAAGTTCTGTAGACAGGGTTAGAATGCTTATGCTTTATATGATGTATAAGAATGGTATATTTGATGACGACAGACGAAAGTTATTGGCACATGCAGGAATTTCGTCACAAGATAGCGAGGCTATTAATAATCTGGGATTATTTGGTGTTAAATTAGTTAAGGTATATGTTATATTTGATATTTTCTTTTTGATGTATGGGAAAGAATAAGTACTCTTTTATTTATTTTTATACTAAGAGTTAATTTTAACAATAGTCTCCACAAGGTAATAAAAGAAAAGTTAAAAAATATCGACAAAAACCTGGAGAGGAAATAGAATATGAAATTTCTCGATATGTACCGAGAATTAAGCTTGTTTTGGAGGTAAACTATCGTTGTTGTCGTTGATTGGTTTTTTTTTGATTATTTAATAATTTCACTAATAAACACGTGTTGTCTAAATATAGAGCCATATCGATAATTCAATAGATCATACAGCATATCCTTATACAAAAGATCCTACAGGGGATCCTGATGGATCAAAAGATACGCAAGGACCAGTTTCTTTAAGAACGTTAGCATCGTTGTATTTTTTTTTTTTGAAAAAGGCTTTGATTTATTAGATAATAAATATTATTTTTTTATTTAGTGCACGATCTGGATGGTTTAAGAGAGGACAAGCAGTAAGAAACTTTTAATTGGCATTATACAGTAGTTAAAAAAATTATTTTTCTTTAACATTAAAAATTTTTTTTTTGTAGACAGAAAATCGTAATATTGGTAGAATAATAGTATTTGTTGCAGGAGGTGTGACAAATTCCGAACTTCGTAGTGCATATGAGATTACAGAAAAATATAATAGAGACGTGATTATTGGTTAGTAATAAATATAATCTAAATATAATTTAAATATAATAATTAAACATTACATATTATACAGGTTCAACTCATGTCATTACACCAAAGCAATTCATTGAAGATTTAAAACTTCTCAGAAACCAACCTAGAAGACCTAATCAACAAAGAAGTCAAAAACCATCGTTACCAAGTCGTCCAAAAATCTCATCAGAATATTCTAAAACATCATCATTGTCACAAAAACCTTCAGCCGGATATTATCCACAGCAGCAGCAGCAGCAGCAGAAACCCCTACCACAAGAACAACAAACGGGTGGACATTATCCACAGCAAGTTGGATATTCACAAGGTTATCAACAAAGTTACTCTCAACAACAACTTCCTCCTCCTCAAGGATATGAACAACCAGTACCAGTAAGTCGACGATTTAATAATAAACAAACTAATCATTCATCATCATCATCGACATTATCAACAACATCGACGTCATCGTCATCATCGACACAAAAATCTAAAAAGCTATTTTACAAATTTTAATAACATATTACTTATATAATATAATGCTCAATTTATAGATTACTTTTATTTTATAGATTATTTTTAATAATAGAATTATTTAATTATCAACATAATAAATAATTTAATAAATAACAATGATTGTAATTGGTCATCAAGTATAATATTGTTCGTTATAAATAACAAATTATTAATATCATATTTCAATATCCCAAACCAAGTCTTCAACCTCTTCCCAATTCTTACACTCTCTGATATCAGGAAAATGGTTTAATGTATATTTTGCTGCACCTTCATAGCTCCATAATAAAGTGTACCACATTGCTCTTTTTTTAAATAATCTTGTTGATATTTTTAATTTATTATTATTGTTGTTGTTGTTTTGTTGTTGAGATTGATTATTATATTTTTCTATAAAGCTTTTTAATAGTAATTTTGAACAATTAAAGGTTGAAATGTAAATAGGAATTAAATCAAATAATGGATCGCCTCCAAATAATAAAGAATCGCCCAAATCTATTATTCTGTTTGGTTTCCATTGTTGTTGTTTGTTTAATGAACCATCAATATCATCATCATCATTAGTTTCTGAAATCATTCCTAAAACGTTTTCTGAATTCAAGTCACCATGCAGTAATCCTGCAAAATTTTCGCCGTCTAAATTTGGATCATATAATTCTAATGGTGATTTTGGTAAGTAATCAGAAATTTGTAAAATTAAATGTATTGGAAATATTAACCAACTTAAGTGATTATTTAAAGCTTTTGAAATTTGATTAGAAATGTAATCATGAAAATCAGAACTTTTCTGAATGGTAGTATCGTTGTTGGTATTATCATTATCATTATAAGATGGAAGTGAATGAATAGCTAATAAAAATAATAATATAAAAATTATAAATTAAGTAGATAAATAAATTAATCAACCAAAATATTGTTATCGTCTCACCATATAATATTTCTGCAATAAAATCAACCAATTTTTCCCAATTGATTATCAAATCTTGGCCACTATTAATTATAATAGATAGACTTATATTATTGCTAAATTCATTATCGTCATCATCATCGTCATGGTTGTTATTTAAATCATTTTTGTTAATATTAGCATCATTTACATTAACATCATCAATTATAATATATGGCCATTGATATTTATTGTTGTTGTTTTTCTCTTCGTCATCCTCAACATTATCATCAACATCATATAAACAACCTGAACCCAAGATTTTAGAAAAATAATTTTTATATTTTGACGGCAAGTAATTATTTATTAAAAAATAAGAATTTGTTTCTGAATCAAAATTTTTTAATCCATTAAATAAATGTGAATAAAATTTTATAATTAATTTTGATGTACGAAAAACCTATAAAATATACGCATAAAAAATGCATCAATAACGAGAGCCAATTACGTACATAAATACATAAATATTATACTTACAGGATTTTGACCACTAGAAACCACTTTTATCCTTTCATTGTCATTTAAATTATGTTTGCTCAATACTTTAATTATTCTATCATTCCAAATGTCCAAATTTTTAAATCCTTCAATAAATTCAGCCTTGGATGAAAAACCTTCTTGAACTATTATAAGATCATCTGCATTATCATCAAGCATTGATAGTTTTCTTGATAAAAATTTTTCAAAGTATGGATAATCCTTAATTAAATTGTCATTAAATGTCTCCCAAATCTAATTTTTTCAAAAAAAAAAAAAAAAAAAAAAAAAAAGAAATTAAAAAAAGATTTTTTTAAATCGTATTTAAATAATTTTAAAAAGGTTTACCTTTTTTCCTTTTTCTTCAGTAATTAATGATTCACATACATTTTCAAGGTTATGGAGATTAACAAAATTTTGAGTGACAGCAATTGAATTATCAAGATTCAATACCTTGTAAATTAACGTTACATGTATGTATATATATTACGATATTGATCAAACGTGTATATATATATATATATATATATATATATATAGATTTACTCATAAAGATAATCTATTTACCATATGCCACCAACCACTAAATAAATTAATAATTAACAAAGATAATGAATTTAATATAATATCAACTTTTACACCGATTATTATAACTAAAAATAATATTATTTTTACCTTGGAACAAATATTGTTTGACTGTAGGAGTTTAAGACAAGAAAAATCATTAATATTTATAATCTTTTTTTTTTAAAAAAAAAATTTATTTATTTTGATGGTTATTACCCTGGTTCTTGTATAATTTCAATCGGTTTTAATTCAGGTGGTAATTGAGGATAAACTTCAAGATACCAGAATAATGATGTGGTTGTATCTCTAGAGTCATCAATAACACTTGAATGATAGATTGATTGATGACCGTTAATTATCGTACTTGATATTGACAGCCCTAATAATCAAGTAAATTGGCGAATAAACTAATGAATAAGTTAATAAACAATTGGATAATTGAATGAATAAACAATATATACCTGGAGGAAACATGTCTGGGGGGTACCTAAAATATTTCAAAAAAAAAGAATAGAGTTAAGTGACAATTATATAGATTGCATAAATTCAATATATAGAGGTGCGTATGTGCATGTATATAGGAGCTTACAATGCCCAGCGTTTTCTTCCTTCTATAACAGTGTTCCAAGCTAAAATGAATTAATTATTAACCAGTTAGTTAATGATAATAGATAGATACGATTCTGGTTAATATTAATATTATTAACTTTAGAACATAATTATGTTAATATAGTAATACCTGAAGTTCCCGATGGATCGATATGCCAAGATGCACCTAATAATAATCATAACAATCATATTATTATTAAATTCAATTATATAATAATACGAACTGCATAAAATAAAAGTTACCAGATCTTGCAGGCCCAATAATTATCCATCTATAAGGAGGTCTCTTATCTCCTAGTACTGAAAAAAAATCTTTATCAAAATATTTTGGAATCTATTTAAAATAGAAAACATTAATTACATTGTCATTGTCATAATATCATTAATGTTTAGAATAAAAATAAACAAATTTAAACAAAATTACCTTATATTCTTCAACTAATTGAGGATATTCTTCACCAAATCTTGGATCAAATATGTATAAAGGCGCTTCATCATGTTGATTATTGATGTAGTCATAATAAGATTTCAAAGTCATTGATAAATATCTATATTTCCCTCCTCCTTCATTTGCTATTCTAAATTTTGATTTAGCATACTAATATTAAAAATAGTGATAATTGATTAGAATAGCAAATTTAATAATATATAATATATATATATATAATTATACTTTTTTAGTAAATTCATCAAATCGCCAATTTTTCCATGCCTTCCATTCTTCAACGTCACAATTTTTAATTAATACAGGTATAGATTGTGAATCATATAATGATTCAAATTTTTCTTTTGTAAGTAATTTTCCATCCTCAATTGGTAATTTCAACTCTGGTGGTACACATGAATAATTAGGTAAAAAATCTCCTAAAAACATATTACATCTACACCATTTAGCGTATAAATAATGACTAGATATATCTTTAAATAATTAATTAGTTACAATGACAATTAATTAATTATATAATAAATAACAAATAAATATTTTAATTTTACCAGTAAATCTTAATGGTTTACAAATAGGATGCGACCACACTTTTTCTTTTTCTTCATTTTCTGATAATAAATTTGGAAATAAGTATGTTAATAACCAATTTCCTCTAAATACGAAATTTCTCATTACTTCTTTATTATCTCCCCATTTATCCAAACAATGTTTCTTCCATAATTGGTCATCTCTAGAAAATACATAAAAAAATCTTGATACTCTTGCGGATCTACCTAAATCCTAATCAATTAATATTTTAATATTTACTTTGTATTTATCAGCATCTCTTGAGATATATATGTAATATTTAAAATTTACCTCGGCAGGTAATTTTGATAGAATAGATTCAGATATTAGATTATCAGAAAACACACTTAATGCACCCAAACCAATAGTTCTTGAATCCATCTATAATTGAACATTTTTAAAAAAATAAATTAATTAACATTTTCTAATAAAGTCGTTTTAAGCTAATTGTTAAACTTTTTATCAGAATAAGAATTTATCACATATTGCAAACATTTTTGCATAATTGACACCAGGCAATGTGTCGCAAAAATGACATTCGAACGCAAATTACTCGAGTAAATCATCATTTTTTATTTAATGCAACATTTTATAAATATTCAGTATTTACTTACTTTTGGAAGAAGAAGATAAAAAGTTTTTTTTTGATTCGAATGACGATCATTAAAAAAAATCATATTATTTTAAATATAGTATGGCGCAGGTCATCAAAAATGTAGATCATTCCGAAATTTTAGATAACTATCAATAGGGGCATACTGCAACAAAATCAGACAAAGTGAACCAAGAATTTTAGGGATCAAAAATTTAGTAATGTGATTATTATATATAATCACCCATTTGTTTGCTATCTTTGTTTTTTTCCTTGATATATAGAATAACTCCTATATAAAAATAGTTAATATGAAACTCATTTACATCAGATCTACTATGGAACCCAAGAATTATAGTACTATAAGAAGTATTTTGAAGAAAGAACAAGGTGAAAAAATTGCACCCTATATTTTCAAAATAAAAGAACCATAATATAGAAAGCTTCCATGGGAAGCCATTGATGAGGAATACCTATTCTTTAGTTGTTCTGATGTAAATCTATTTTATATTTTCACTATTGCTAATATTAGTATTTTCTTCATCTTCTATATCATCCTTTATTTTTTCATTTTTTCCTTTATTGATTCCCAAATTGCTTCCATGTTTTATTCATTTTTCATTGGTAGAAGTTTTTTATCATGGATGCAACAACACCTTTTCCTTCACCAACTAATTTGTAGATTTCCACCACCATTTACTAAAGAAAAAAATTTGAGTCCAATTCAATCATATAATTGCTTGAAATCCTTCCATATATTTCGATTCCTTCTGGGTATAGTTTTGTTTATAGTGAAGCAAGAAACCCCAATTAGCAACCCACAAAAAAGCTCACTATTGAAGGTATTTTTTAAAAATGTTATTGATGCAAATATTTGGTTTTTGAACAAAAATAAAATTGTTTAATAATGATTACTGAAGGATTTGTAGTTTGATTTTTTTTACCTGAGGTTTTTATAATAATAATCAAACACCAATCAAATAAAGACAAAGATTATTTAAATCACAAAGTATGCCATTTTTTAATGGTCAAGAGTTATGTTCTGATATGATAATTATGTTTTCATAGAGTAATAGTCTGTATGTGTTAAATCACAATCACATTGGTGATGACTAAATTTTGTGCATTGAAATCCTCTGTAGTGCAAATGTTCACTTTGTTGAGTTTTGTTGCAGCATGCTCCATATTATAAATAAAAGTTCCTTTAAAACCTCTATGCTTTTTTAAAGTATTTTCATTTAATATAAATAATAAAATAAAGATCAAGATCCTGTGAATACAATATTCATATACTAATACACCAAGGATAAATTTATTGCTAAATTTAAAAAATAAAAGATATTAATAATTTATGCATCTTTAATGATTTTTTCCTATTACATATAATATTAAATGTAAAATATCTTCTTTACATTAAAAAAAAAATAATCTTACCATTTACAATCTCTATTTTTTTTTTTGAGAAAGTGTTTTTTGGGCCATAAAAAGTCATCAGGTGTGATCAGCCGGGCCCTAATTTCTTTGTCCCAATGGAATATCATTCCAAATTTGATTCGGCACTGGTAATAATTATTTTTGATTGAATAATTTTATGCCTAATGACTGACCCTCGCTAAGTTGTACTTATAATCTTGAGTTTAACCAAACCCGCCGACATGACCAATCTCATCTCGTCATCAAAATTTATTCCGGAACAAATACTCCATCTGTCATCATTATTATTATACCAAAGGGAGTCATTTTTTATATAAATATATATTGCTTTATTTTTGTTATTATATTATAACACCTTGATCTGAAATTTTGAATTCAAAATTTTCTCCATGATCATCGTCATCAAATTCTGGTGTAACCATTCTACCAAAAAAACTTTTATCAGTAGATTTAAATGTAGTAAATAATTGATAATTTTGATAATTTTGTTGTGGCTTTTTGGAAACAACAAATCTATATTTAACAAACGAATACCATAATGATGAAGAAACACTTTTATAACATAATTCATATGGAAAATCAGATAAATTTCCTTTTAAAAACAACGATGAATTTTGTTGTCGCGCATCATCTTCACCAAGTTTTTGTTTTTGTTGGCTGTGGTTGTAATAGATTTTTTCTCCTTTTAATAATATTAAATTTCTAATTAAATTTTCATTATTATCGTAATTAAAACTAAAATTATTACTACTACTATTGTCATTATTATTATTATCATCATCATCATCATTAAAATTAAAATTATCATTATTATTATTATTTTTATTAAAAATTAAACGGTTTGTAGCTAATATTATTAATTTAAAAGTTTCGCTTAATTTTTTTAATTGATCAATAATTCTCATATTATAAATTCCATATTTATACTGTGCCAATTCTGATTCAGCTTTGTCACTCCAATAAAAAGCATTGATTGAATCTATCATTAGGAAATTGATTTTTTTACTATCATTATAATCATCACCATCTTTAGAAGTAGTACTATGATTGTTATTATCACTACTACTAGTATAACTTTCAAATTCTTTAATATCATTTGGTAAATTTAACAATGTTGCTAAGAATTTAAAAGAATTTTCTGGTTGATAAATGATTAGTTTATCTAAGCAATTTGTTATAAATTGTTGAAATTCTTGACTTGTTGGGACTAATTTATTTCTTAAATTTTGATAATTATCATCCTTATCATCATCACTAATATCACTTTCTTGTTGCCTTTGCTGCTTTAGATCTTCCTGTGGTTGATTCAATCCTTGTTGATCTTGTTCTTGCTTTAAATCCTGCAGCTCTTGCCATAACTTATAACAATAATTGTCTATTTTTTTATTTAAATAATATAGAATCATTTTGTACAATCTATTTGAATCATATTTATGATCCAGATCAAATAATATTACACCTTTATCACATCCATATAAAGGGATGACAAAATTATTTTCAACTTGATCATTATTATTCTTGCTATAATTATTATAATAATTTTTTCTTTTTCTTTTTAGTTTCCAATGTCTTGGTAAAATATTATTTATAATAATAGTGTAAAGAATTGTTGATTTACTACTACAACTTGGTCCATATATTTCTATAACATCACTTGGTTGTAAATAAGGATAAAGATATTGATATTTGTATTGATATTGATAATTATAGTGATGAGGTGATGATGATTGTGTTGAGGAAGAATTATTACTTGTGTCTGTGTTTTTTGATTCTGAAAATATGGAGTCTCCGTCATTATCATTATCGTCGTCATTATTATTACTTTGATTGATATTATCATTTTGATTAACATTACAATTTTGGCAATCATCGCTATCATTACCGTCCTCACTAGTATCATCTTTAATAAAATCATCATCATCATCATCGTCGTCGTCGTCGTCGTCGTCATCGTCGTCGTCGTCGTCATCATCGTCATCATCATCGTCGTCGTAATCGTCACTATTATTATTATTATCTTGTTTACCATCATCATTTTCTTCCTCTTTAACATTTTCGCCAACACCATCTTTAATTATAATTTCAACATCAACATCATCGTTATTATCATCTTTACTACTTTTATTACTAATAGCATCTAAAGTCTTATAATATTCATAAGCTTTTATTATTTCTTTATCAAGAAACGGAATATTAAAGAATAATTTTGCGATTAATTCCTCTTCTTCCTCTTCCTCTTCATTTTGATTTGATTGATGTAAATTAATAGCATCATCGACATCGTCATCATCGTCATCACCACCATTATCATTATCATTATTAGGCGAAGAATAAACGATTGACTAGATGCAAAGATACAAATACATACACACATAACTAATTTCATCCTTTATGTTCAAGGAGAAAACAAAAAAAGAATCCTTATTTGATTTTTTTTACCTGAGAAAAAGATTCGCCAACTAAATCAGAGCTGATGGCAGTTGACATTGAATTAGAAAGATTTAATGCATTATTATTATTAATTGAATTCATCTTTTTATAAAAAATTTTTCCTTTTTTAAAATTTGATCAACCAACCATTACCTCTTATCTCAACGTGATAATAATAATGATGATCTGTGCTTGTATTTTACAAAGAATATCTATTTACAAAAAACACACAAGTATGTCTATACACACAAAACAACCGCAAGTAGATTTAAGATTTTTTGAACTTCCGGCCACGATAGCTCTTATAGAAGCTATACGTAATCCTTTGATAATTGATCTAAAACATAAAAAGTTCAAAAAATTAACCTCACAAGAATTATCAATATTTCTTGGGAGATTACAAATATTTCAAGAAGAAAAATTAGGAACTCGTCTGAACATTTCAAAAAAAAGCACAATTCCAACAAAAATACCCTCAAAGCTTTTCAAGTTTGGATCAACAACTCTTACAACTAAATCCCCAATTTATCATATATTGAAATCAGCATATAAATTCAAATATTCAAAAAAATGGGATAAATGGAATTGGGACGATGTAGAGGATATTATGGAAATGATTACAATGATCAGAGGTGCTTTAATAAAAAAGAAGATAATTAAGATTCCAATTATACAATTTAGTCATTCACTTGATTCAAAAACTATCAAAAAGTTAAAAAAACTTGTTAAACGATTAGGAGGTGAAAATAATTTATGAAATAAATATATTATATTAGTAATTTCCTTTAACAAATGAATTAATTTATCTGTTCAGATCTATTAATTCAACTCTTATAAAATTTTTTTAATATATATAAGGTCAAGTTGCTGATGATGATGATCAAAATGTTACACATATTATTCATAAATCCAATGATTATGATGACCAAGATGAAGAATGGTTTAGAACACTGGAAAAGAAAGATGGCAAAGTCCTTATGCACTGGTGGTATTATCCTGATTCTTATGATACCTGGGTCGAGGAAACATCTGAGCACGCTAACCCGGAACCAGCACCTATAAATAATGGTCCATGGAATGTTGGTAAGCGATGGATTAATGATAGTATTAAGTTTAATGAGTGGATGAACGAAGAAGATTATGAAATTTCTGACTTGGACAATGGCGAAAATGCAGAAGAAAATAAAGAGGCAGCAATCGTTAATCTAAAAAAAATTAAAATACGAATAAGAAAGAGAGAAAGTGATGAACATAACAATCAAGATGAAGTCGATGACAAATGTAAACGTAATAATAATAAAAATAGAGAAAAAACTTTGTCTTCAGAAGCGAATGCATCATTGTCTTCTAAGCAACAATTAGATCAGTTGGAAGATTCAACTAATTCTGCAAACAAAACGAAAAACAATATAGAATTTTGTCCAGATGAAGTTGGTGGTAAAGACAAACATAATAGTAATAATAATAGTAATAATAATAATAATAATAATAATAGTAATAGTAATGATAATAAAGAAAAGTTTCTACCTTCAGAAGCAAATTCTCCTAAACAACAAAAACGTACCTTAGACCAAATGGAAGAGTCAAATCCTGTGCATAAGACAGAAAACAACATCCAATTTCATCCAATAGTATCATTAAAGCGTCCTAGAGTAAAATCGTCTGGAGACAAAGTAACATTTAATAGTCCTATCATTAATGGTATTGGTGTTAATAATATTTCGAAAGGTGGCCAGGTTGATGATGATAGGATGGAGGATATGAGATATAGTAAATAGTTTCAATATTTGAATTTAAAATAATTTTTAGGCGATTATAACAAGTAATTAAAAATTTTTTTTAACAAGTTTTTATAGACAATGATATTTCAACAACAAATCAAGATCATAATGAAAAGGTCAATGGAGTGCCTTCGCCTCAAACTGATGAATACTTAAAAGACAAATATACAATGACAACCGATAACACACCAACACAAGAAGCATCCACAAGCAATCACAGTTTGGTTAACAACTCAACAGAAAATGCCGAAAAGATAAATTCGATTAAAATTGAAGATCCCAACAAAAAACTTTATGATGAAGCTAATGGATATTTATCAGAACAAACATATGAAATAACAATACCGTCTTATTCAGCATGGTTTAATTTCAACAGAATTCATGAAATTGAAAAGGAGGCCATGATAGAATATTTCAATAACAAAAATAAAACTAAAACCCCTGAAATCTATAAAGAATACAGAAATTTTATTATCAATACCTATCGTCTTAATCCTCGAGAATACTTGTCAGTTACTGCATGCCGTAAGAATTTGCCAGGTGATGTTTGTGGAATTGTTCGTATCCATGCATTTCTGGAACAATGGGGATTAATCAACTATCAGGTAAGTTTGTTTGTATGGTTTAGTCATATTATTTATAAATAACTTAATTAATTATTATCATTATTATTATTTTGAAGCCTGAGTTTGATACATACAATTCTTCTGTTGTGCCTCCATTTACTGAAAATTTCAAAATTACAGCTGATATGCCTAGATGCCTTCGATCCTTTTCTCAAAATAATACTTGTATTGAAATTGTTAATACCACTCAAAAAACACCAAATATCAAAAAACCTTGTGATATTTTGGATTCTTCTTATAATTCCAACCCAATTTTGGTTGTTCAAAATATTTATAGACGCGATAACACTAAGACTATCAACAACACTGGTGAGGATATATCTGATCAGAAAAGGAAAGGAAAGGCTTGTGGAATTGAAGATTTTGAGCATTGTTATTGGTCTGATGCTGAAACTTTATTGCTTTTCGAGGGAGTAGAATTACATGGTGATAATTGGAACATGGTATCCCAACATGTTGGTACACGATCTAAGGAACAATGCATTGTGCACTTTCTGGAACTACCTGTTAAAGATCCCTTGGAATTTACTAAATCTTCAAATACAAGGTTATCATCATTTGATCCTTACATGCCATTCAGTCAAACAATTAATTTAGATGTAGAAATAGGAGCATTATCAAAAGATTCAAATTTGTTCATGAAATTATTTAATAATGAAGAAAAGCCAACAAGTGACACGAATGGTAAAATTTCGGGTGTTGCCTCTTCACTTTTCAAAAAATCACCATTTGTCAAAAATAATAAAGGTTTACAAATTTCCAATCAAGAAGTTAATCTTTGTCTAACCTCTGATAACGATGATACTAAACAGCATCAGAAAAACGAAAAGCGCTGTTTAGCAAATTCTATAATGGAAAATCGTTTTAAGAAGCTTGAACTTAGACTCCAAAGATTTGAAGAAATGGAAAGTTTAATTGAGGAAAACAAAAGAGAACTACAAGAACAAACTAATGCTTTGTATCGTGAACGATTTCAATATAAAAAAGAGTTGCTTAATTATAGAAATCAATTGAGAGCACTCAACAACAACGACAATAATGATACCAATAATAACAATAATGATTACAATAATAATAACAAGCAAATAATTAAATAATAATAAATTTGGACGGATTATCAATTAATGTATATAATTTTATTGTATAAAATTTTTTTTTTATGATAGTACTATATACGTGATATACATTGTATATATTTTAATCTTCGTTAATTGGCTAATTGATTCTACAATAAAACAAATAACAGAAATATTTATAGAAATTGAGTAATAAGTAAAATTCCCAAGTATAAACCTTAAGTTGCTGTTGCACAAATAATAAGGTTTTACCTTAAACCTCTGGTGTTCCATAATTCGGTGTTCCTGCAAATAGTAAGTAAGGCAAATCTATTCTAAACAATTTTTTTTCCCAATAAAAAAAAAAAACAACCTATGAATATAGAAAACAAACTATTAAAAAAAAATATTCCCTGATTAATTATTTTGGAGAAAAAAAAAGCAATAAATATATATGTATTTATATTTTCCATTGGAATTTTTCTTAACAAAAAACAATTTTGTTTACGACTATAATATTTACTATTAACGAAAATATTTATCAACGATTAATTGTTATTTCTAATAAAGATTATAAAAATGTAAGTCTTTATATTGCTTTTATAAATGAATGCTTTTAAAAATTTATATATATATATTTATAAATGCGTATAAATACACGCACATATTATATAGGTCAGGCAAACAACCAGAAGTTTCTGAGCTTTATGATCCACATCACCCAAAACATTCTCTTGGAAAGTCAGAACAAACAGGTGTACCTCCAAGAGAAGGACCCAGTAAAATTCAGATGGTTCAAGCTACAATAGACAATACAAAAGGCGAAATACAAAAAACTCTTCATGAAATGGCCAAGAAAGGAAAAAAATTAGAGGAGCTAGAAGAACAGACGAGTAAGTTTAGTTTAATAATAATAATTGAAAAAATTATTAAATAATAAAATCTCTAATATTAAATCTCTAATATTGATTGTATTTATCTCAAAAGTGATGTTAAATGAAACCACAACTGCATTTAAAGCTCAAACAAAAAAAGTAAGAAATCAAATGTGGTGGAAGGATACAAAGATGACAATTATTTTAACAATTACGGGAATCTCAATTCTAGCGGCAATAATAAGTATATATTTTAATTAACTCCAACTTTTTTTTTCTCTTCGTGATTGTTTTCTAAAATCATTTATTTTTTATTTAGTTCCAATTGTTCTTAAATTTCAAGACAAACTTTAATCATGATGATTGATGATAATAATAATGGTAAAGAAATAACATAAAGTTGGATGGCAAGAACATTTATTTATTTAATGAGATTGTATATAATATACATACATATATTTACATATATTCTTAAGATTATCTTTCTCATCTTCTTCTCAAAAATTCTAATTTATTTTTTTTTTATTTTTAATAATTTAATTCATTAGTAATCTAATAATAGGAAATTTTTTGTATAATAATTTTTTGTATAAATAGTTTATATATTTACATGTTTTGGCTACAAGACATCCATTACCTTCAATAACATTAGAAAACAATTATAACATAGTAATTCCTGATAATCGGTAATGTTTTTGATGGCCTCATGTATCAAAAATTAAATTTGTTTCACAAAATCAATATTAATATCAAATGTTCGTTTTTCGGTTTTTTTTTCCCGGTTGATGGACATTGATGAATAATCCTAAAAGCTCATGTATCTACAAAAGTAACGAATACATAAGTCCGAGATAAAAGGCTAGTTGTAAAATAACAATTATATTGATTGACTTTGATAAGGATGCAAATAAATGACAAAACGTATACGTAAGAGCATAGTAAAGATTTCCTAATTTTGGTAATTTATAGTTGTACAAATTTCGATAATCATTTGTCGTATGATTATTAATCTGGCCAATCAATGAATAAAACAATTTTTAACGAAACGTACGTTTTACGTTTTATTAAAAATTTATCAAGGTAGAAAAGAAAGAATGTATCGGTAATTAGTAACATAGTACCACTTTTATATATGGGTACGAAATTCTTTATATGAGTTCATATAAATTATAAATATTAAGTAGATGGTACTATGCTACGTACAAGTTGGTTGTTACTCTCTTAAGATCATGGTTTCTAATTAACAGCTTCTTATGGTTTCATGTAGACCTATTTTATTTCAATAACTATTCTATTGCATACACCAACATCCTTGATCTAGAACTTCTCCAAATTATGATTTTGACTTGTCCTGGACCAAAATTAAGGCTCTGACTGTTTATTTCCGTTATAAAAAAATGTTAAAGCTAGTTTCCAAATTTCAGCAGAAATTTTCCTTAACTGTCAGCATCCACATTTTATCATTCATTGATTATGTGAAATCAGTTTGGGAATAATGATAACAATTATGAAACGTGTAATCACCATCTTCAATGGTGAGTTTACTTGTAGTTGTAACAAATGACATTATTTTGCTAGTGTCCATTTTTTCTGATGGAATTTTGCTTTTTCTCAATACAGTTGGTTGGTTAACAAGATGGTTATTAATAATGCTCGTGTAATGTCCTTTTTCTCTTCAGCATTACGCTGCTAAATTTTTTCTTTGATAATTACATTTGAAATAAATATACATAAAAAGGTCAAATTTTGCTAAGGATTCATATATTAAATTAGAATTAGAATGACGAGTTTAGATCAATAATCGTTGTCACCATTTTTTTTTTGAAAGATTCTATACTTGCTCATAATCTTTTGATTTTTCTTCTAAGTTATAGTTTTGTTTTCTGTTTTTTAAAAACTAAACCCATATAAAAATTATTTATACTGCATACTTTATGAACAACGGTAGCAAAGATCATGCCTATTGCTTTTAAAATTTATAATTTATTAGTAATTGATCACAGATACCAAATATGGCGCAGAGACCCAGGTAGTTAGATATTTGTAATAAGATGTTATATATAATAATAAAAAAGTATAAAAGAAAACGTATCTTCCTCGTCGTCAAGAAATAAATTATTTTTCCTATAAAATAGGTGGCTTCTCCGCAAACACTACCTACTAAATTTTACGTGTTTGCTTATCTAGGAACCAAGCAACACATTTAGGAGATTCTAGAAGGTAAGCATTACTAGAGAATGATTACCATTTGGGAGCTATTCTAATTATTAGTATTAAAATTATCCTATATTATTTTATAAAACAGAACATACATACATATGTTGATTTATCTCAAGCCGTGAGCTTAACGTCTTTACAAGTATTATTAAATTTCAGCCGAGATAAAGTCATGGCCGATGATAGAGCAATGAAATTTTATGAGCAAGATTAGTAGAAATCTATCATATAATATGCAGTTATGAGATAAAATAAATTGTTAATTTTTTATTTTATTAAGTTGAAAATAATAATGTTTCATCGCCATCATCATCAAACAGCGATAAAGGTGTTTACCATCATTAAGTCACAACAATTACAAAAGAGGTATGGTGATGAAAACCTATTTAAAAGAAGAAAAGTTGAGGCCGAAGCTGATAGAGGTTTGAATCGACTAAAATAGTCGACTAAACTTTTTTTGAACAACTAATAGTCGACATTTTGGTCGACTAAATAGTCAACTATTTTAATCGATTATTTAGTCGACTATTTTAGTCGACTATTTAGTTGACTATTATAATTACTATTTTAATCGATTATTTAGTCGACTATTTTAGTCGACTATTACTATTACTATTTAGTTGACTATTTTCGTCGACTAATTAGTCGACTACTAATACTACTAATACTAACACTAAATAATCGACTAAAATAGTCAACTAAAATAATCAATTAATAGTAATAGTCAACCAATTAGTCGATTTTTTGGACGATTCCAACCTCTAGAAGCTGGAAGAGCCGAAACAGAAGCTAGAAAAGCGAAGGTTTAGCCGAACTAGAGATTGGAAAAGCAAAAACTTTGGCTGAAGTTGAAAAGGAAGAAACCGAGGCCAAAAAGGCCAAGACAGATAGACAATAGAAAGGGAGTCAATGTCAAAAATCGTAATTTTGAGTTGATACCACACATATACGTAGCTTGTCGCAAGGAACAATTTTAGCTTAGAAACTATGCCCACTTAATAAAATTTTGATATTTTCTGATTTTCTGTTAAAAAATAGTAAAACAAGACATTTGGCAATAATTTTAGTAACTGCAGATCTTTTTTCAATTTCCTCAAAATCGTGATTTTTGACGTTGACTCCCTATTGTTCATGCCCCATATTATTAACTTATTTATGGGCTCGCTATATTTAATAATCGGGACATTGGTTTTTTATTTTATTTTCTTTATTCCAAACAACAAATATATATAAGTGTATATACTTTTTAATAGATTTACTTCCCATTTTTTTACTTTATGCAAGAATTTTCATTTTCAATTTTGAATAACCGTTTTAGCATGAAATCATCGTCGTCGCATACAAAAGAAATAATATTTAATTAAACAAATATTTCTTTAAAAAAAATGAAATCAATAGAAAAACTGAAGCTTGAAGGAAAATTTTAAAAAATAGTTATCGTTGTTCTATATAGTTAAAATATAAAATTCAAACTTTTTTCAAAATGAATATATTAATATATACAATCGTTTAACTTTATGAAATGTAAAATTTTACAAACAGGAAATTGTTCAAATAAAAATAATGATAATAATCATTCAAATAAGACAAAAAATGTCGCATCACTTTATAACAATTTCTTTCTTATGCAAATTAAATGCAGTATTCCTAAATGGAGAATAGGCACCATTTACCATCTTCCTCTTCTACTATAATAACCTCTACTTCTACGATTGTTTGAAGGTGGTACATTATTTGAATGTTGCTGATGATTAGAAGTGCTGCTACTGCCACTACTACTAGTGTTCTGTGATGATGATGGCTGTGAAGTTTCAGCCTTAGTATTATTGTTATTGTTGTCGTTGTTACTATTTTCTTGAGATGTACTACTACTAGTAGTAGCAGAAGTTTTCGCTGTGGATGATGATGCAGGTGAAGAAGATGCAATAGTAGAATCAGTGGTAGCATTAGATGTATTTATAGCAGCCTTTTGTTGTTGAGATTGAGGTTTGGTTAATATTTGTATTTGGCCGTGGTGTGGTTTATTATCAAAGCTATAATTCCTTCTTTTATCACGTCTACTACGATGTGGTGAATATGAAGAATTTGATGATTGTGAATAACTAGTGGTGGATGATCGTATGGATGAATTAGTTGAAGTTATTTCCTTGCTAGACGTTTCATTCTTCTTTGTTTCACTGGTATTTTCCTTAACTTTAAAATTATTATTATTATTATTGTCAATTGTAGATTCTTTATCTTCTTTTTTTACTGGTCTTTGTATGATTTGTCTTATTTGATCCTTTTGACGTTGTTGAATTGTTATTTTTACAGCTGAATTTCTTATGGTTTCCTTTTCTTTTGATTCGTTGGTTTCAGCTTTAGTAGTAGCATCATCACCTATCTTATCAATTTTTTGATCTAAATTATTATTATCTTTGACAGTTTCTTTATTTTTTTCATCTCTCCCTTCCTTCTCCTTTTCTCTTTCTCTTACTTTTTCTCTTTCCCTATTCCTTTCCCTTTCCCTTTCCCTATTCCTTTCCCTTTCCCTTTCCCTTTCTCTAATTCTTCTATCTTTTTCTCTAAATCTCTCACGTTCACGTTCCCTATCCCTTTCCCTTTCCCTATCAAATTTTCTTTTATCGTGATCTTTTTTATTAGAATATTTTGAAGAATTATTATTGGCAGCAGCAGCAGCAGCTTCAATTGCTTGAGCAGTTCTAGAAGGTTGAGCTGGTTTAATGGCGGATTTAGATGTTGTTTGTGATGATGAAGATGAATGAGGGTTAGCAGGTGAAAGTATTGATGAAATTTTTGATGTTGATGATGTTATAGATAAGGATTTTGATTTAGTACCAGATTTTTGAGCACGTAAATATTCAATTAATGGAGTAGTTTTTGGCTTTTCAGACGCATTCAATGCTGCATTAGCTAATAAACAAACAAACAAACAATGACAATAATAAGAGTAAAGGTATCGTGGTTGTTATAGTTGTAGTTGTAGTTATGAGATGTTAGTATGATGATTATTTGGCAAGTGATTAAATTATTTTTTTATTAGCCTATTAATATTATATACCTGCAGCACTAGCTAAACGATTTTCCAATCTTTCTAATTGAGTAGCACCACCTTCTAAAGTAGCGCTTGGCTCTTTAAATGCGTTTTGTTGTGCCTCTTCCGCTTTTATAGTCTCAAGAAATGCAATATAATCGGGATCTGAATTTATGATATGAATATTTAAATAAATATATGTCTATTAACCAAATATATTGATTGATGTGATTAATTGCCTGTTTCAATTGTTCCTTGCTTTGGATCGGGTTTTTCTGTTTCTTTTGGTAATTTTTGGTAAATTGCAAATTCGACTACTGCTTTATTTTCATTTCCTATTATTAATTTTTTTTTTTAGAAATTTAGAAATAAAAATATAAATTTTTTTTAAAATAATATAGGAAAGAACCTTGTTTATCTCTAAATAAATGATTATCATAGACTCTATGAAATTCCAGTACTTGTTCAATATTTTTGAAATGTATGTAAGCTCTTGAATAAATACATTCTTTATTTTTACTATAAAAATAATTTTATAAACAATAAATCTTTATGTATATTTTATTTTAATCAGCTTTTTAATAATTATTACCTTTTACTAACTCGCCCTGGATAAAACTTGAGCTGATCAGTTGTGTTTTCGTTTACCCATTGTTTAATTGATTCTAAGAACTGATTTTCAGGCAACAATGGTGGTAAACGTCTTATGACTACTTTATTTTTTGAAAGAGTTTTACTTCTTCCCGAACTTCTTGGTTTTGATTTCCTAGGTCTTGAAGACCTAGAATGTCTATTCAACATCATTTTATCAAATAAATTAAAATGAAAATAATAATAATAAACACTCGAAAACTAGAGCATAGTAATATAGTAATAGTGATAGTGGAAATTTGAATGTTACATTAATTTTTATATTGTGCAACGTAACTTTACAATACACGGGCAAACATTCTGGCAATAAAAAGTAAGTGATAAACTGGATCTGAACTTGAGCTCCAATTTAGAGGTAACAACTATATACTAGTGAAGTTTCAGGTGCAATGGGTTCTGTATAAAATTTCGTGTAATAAAAACTTCCACCATGCTTACAGCATAATTTATATAATAATAATAGTGGACATATATATTAATATTAATATCACATGTGACAAAATCGATTATTGATCTTTGTTCTGAAATTTAGAATAGAAAATAGGGCGTGACTGCGCACAAAAACTTGTTTAACCTAAGATAGTATGTGTGATAGATTATTAAAAACTTTTTAATAATAACTGAGCATTAGTAGTTCCATACTAGAACACATGGGATATACATACTAAATCCAAGCAAGTATGAGATACAAATCCTTTTATTAAAAGGGATGCAAAAAAAATACTACATAATATATGGGGCATGCTGCAACAAAACCAGACAAAATGAACATCAGTATTACAGGGATCAAAATTTAGTCATTACCATCACAATTGTAATGTAATCAGTTTTATAATATTCCATTTGTTATTTTAAATGATATATAGAATTACCTCTATATAAAATAGTTAATATGAAGCTAATTTATATCAGATCTACTATGGAATCTAAGAATTATAGCACCATTAGAAGTATTCTGAAGAAAGAACAAGGTGAAAAAATTGCTCCTTATATTTTCAAGGATAAATTATACTCAGGCATTGGAAACTTATCTAAGAAAAGAAAGGATTACCTATGAAATTTATCAAGAAGAAAGAAAAATAATAAATGTTGGAAAAAGAAAACATCATAATGATGCATTATTACCTAATAAAAAGCAAAAATCTTTAAAAGGAAAATAACTACCATTTTCAATTTATACAGAGGGAAGTTTCCTCAATTACTTTCTTACTTTCAATCATGATCATCTTTTAGTCTCTTTGACTTCAATTTGTGCAGTTAGTTGACCATTCTGCTGATCTTTTAATGTCTTGTTTTCCTCTTCTAGTTGCTTAATTTTTTCTTCTAAACTCTTTATCTTATCCAATAACTC